GCATTGGCCATCCTCCCTGCGGGTGATTTCTCACTTTCCCTCCCACACTCACTGTCTCTCTCAGGTAAGAACATATGCCCTATGGCAAAAAAACTTTAAAAAGATAAAAATTAAATTTAAAAAAATCATATTAAAGATCAGCCCCATAGCACAATTGTTAAGACAGCTGAGGCCCACATGGCTGACTGTAGTTAAAATCCCAGAACTGGTTTCTTCAAAAATACGTTGTGTTTGTGTGTGCCCGCCAGCGGCCTTGTCCCATCAGCGTCTGCTTTCTTTGTCTCCCTGCCTGCACACATGCCCTCTAGCAATGAAAAAAAAGGGTAACTGATTAAGTGTATTCGAAATTAAAAGTATTAAAATATTTCGTTTTAGGATATTTATTTTGAATTATCCTAAAACCTCACCCTTTAACTTACAAGTTCTCAAAAACCAAAGGTTTCTTTTATGGACACTCATATCTTTTAACTTGTGCAAGAAAATGGAGCTTGTCTATAGTTTACACTGAAACCAAAGATATATTTGGAAGCAGAAATTTGAACAATCAATACCAAAATGAACTCATTTCAGTAGTATGTTAAAATACTTCAGAAGATACTTTAGAAATAAGTTCTTGGTGATAACACACAATTTTACAGCATCTACAACTCCCTGACTGATTTCCCTAAAAGTCTAGTGCAGCCTTCTGATTCTATTAAATTTTTAAACAACAAATTTTTAACTACCTTCTGCCTTTCTTTTAGAGGTTTTTGCTATAGGGCACGTGTGCTCACCGGAAAGACAGAGAGACAGAGAGACAGAAAGCGAGAAATCACCCCTTAAGGGGGATGACCACGCCGCAATCCCTTCTCCTCCATTCTCCTCTCGGGATCTTGGGAACGCACGTGTACGCGCCCGGCGTGAGTTTAAGCCACCGGGTCCAGGACTTGAACCGCAGTCAACTATGTGGGAGTCCAGCCACATAGCCATTACACCAACTGCTGGTCCCCCATCTTCTGCCTTTCAACATAAGGGTATCTGCTCAGCTTTTCGTTGAGAGTCACTAATATAAAAATTATTCTCAGATAGTCTAATTGAGACATGTATAAAAGAAGTTTAGGGGCCAACAGGTGGTTTGGTGGTTCAGGCGCTGGATCTGCACACAGCCAACGTAAAATCACGCTGTGTGCACATACGTGCATGTCCCAAAGCCCCAAGAGGAGAGGGGAGGACAAGGGATGGTGGCATGACTATCACCTGGGGGGGGGATTCTCTCTCTCTCATTCTCTCACTCTCATTCCCCCTCTTTCTCCCTCCCTCCCTCCAGTGAGCACATGTGCCCTAGAGCAAAAATCTTTTAAAAAAGTGTTTAAATAGTTTTGACTTAGAAGCTACAAAAATGGGGACCAGTAGTTAGTGTAAGGCTATGTCGCTGGACTCCCACGTAGTGGACCGTGGTTCGAGTCCCGGACCCGGAGGCTTAAACTCATGCTGGGCACGTGTGCATGCATGCCCAAGATCCCGAGAGGAGAATGGAGGAGAAGGGATTGCAGTGTGGCCATCCCCTCTGGGGGGTGATTTCTCGCTTTCTGTCTGTCTGTCTCTCTCTGTCTGTCTGGCGAGCGCACGCACCCCATAGAAAAAACCTCTCAAAAAAACAAAAAAAAAAAGAAGCTACAAAAATGTCTTAAGTTATTCTTCAACTATGAGATTTAATATAGTTGAACCAATACCATAACTTCACCAAAAAATATCCTGCAATTGTTTTTAAAATCACACACAGATCTCCACACTAGAGGAAGCTCAGAATGCGCAGTGCTGGGTAGCTGATCTCGTCATCTACCCCGCAGCTGTGGCAGAGGCTGCAGAGCGTACGGCCCACACTAGTGACCGCTCCTCTCAGTGCTATTACTCCTCAGCAAGGGCTGGCCGGGTAGAACAGCCAGCTGTGATACAGGTCATCTACAAAGACGGCTCCTATATTTACGGGTAGGACCGCAGCTCCTACTCGATGCATTAGGTATAGATTATAATCAAAACTCACTCACACAGCACACGCACACACGTGGCCGGGGTGAGTTTAAGCCACCAGGTCCAGGACTCAAACCGCAGTCAACTACATGGAAGTCCAGCGACATGGCCATTACACCATATGCTGGTCCCGAGAAAAATCAAATTTAATGTAGCTAAAAAAAACGGTAAAACTCTGGTTGGCTTGTAGCCAAAGCTGAAATTCTTTTTTTTTCTTAATGCTAGAGGGTGTGTGTATGCCAGTGTGAAATCCCCGATGGGACCTGGTCACCAGCATCCTCTGAGCCAAGAATTCTAGTCCCTCTACCTCTTCTGAAATGAAGTGTTTTATCTGTTTGATTTCTTTACTTAGTTTGAGTTTTCCTTTCCTTTCTTTGAAGAGAATCCACCTTGATTTTGAATGTTGTTTTAAATTGGGGCTAATTAACAACTACACACTTGTCACTTAATGGGTACCCACAACATACCAGGCACTAAATTTTCAATTTCTGAAATAAGCCTGGCAAGGTGGGCAGTATCATATCTCTTTACAGATGACAAAATTGAGGCTGGAGGACATTAAGGAACTTGCTGAAGTGTATCGCCCAACAGGGGCCCCACCAGGAAATGTCAGAGCCAGGGGTTCCACACATTGTCGTCCAACTTCAAAGCCCAGGATCTTTCTGTTCCACCTTCCCTTCACGTAAACAGCCTGCTGGTGGGCAGCTAATTGAATCTGAGACTTTCTAATTTTTCAAGAGGCTATCAAACTACATCTTGTTCTGCTACAATCCAATCTTTCCCAATGATTTTTCTTCTTTATTTAATATTTTGTCAACTTTCGAGAAGTTTCAATATACTTTGGTAAAAGAAAAATTTCTCAAAGTGACAAGGAACACTCAAACTAGCTACTTCTATCAGTGGCAACTCAAGGTACAAGTCTACCACATGGAACCCTTGATCAATAAACTTAGCTCCTCCTAAGCCACCAGAATTCCCAGAATTGGATGAGTAGAACAACATCATTTTCTAATATTGAGTCTGGCGTTTTTGACTGACTACTTACTGAGAAATTTTAAGCGCTACTTGGGATTATCTACCGAGTTGTCTTCCTGTGTCTGGGCAGTCTGCCTATCTAAGCAGGACTGTTAAACTAAACCTACTCCCCTGCCTAACTAATCTATATGTATCGTTACAAATCAAACTGATCTATTTTTAAACAGATTTAATGCTTCTCCTGGGAATAATTAAACTAGCCTTAAAAGGAGCTAATTAGATCACTATGAAGTCTCCTAGTTAGCTAACAGAACGAGGAAACAAGAGCATGACCTCCTACTGTTCCTGCAGACTGGGGTGTGAAGACACGGGGTGAGCACTTCAGGTGGTCCCTTCCTGCTCAGCATGAGTGGGGATCAGGCTTGAACACACCTTCGATACTGCCTCGCTTCACAAACACACCTCTCCCTCAGTGCCTCCTGGACGTGAGGAGGCTTCGAAAAAGAATAAAGCAACAGAGCATCCTAATATTGGCTGCTAACACTAATAGGATTAGAAAAGAAGAAAACTCCCATGTGTGCCCCATCACTACCCCAAACCTGTCTCATCTCAGCCCTTTTTTGTGGGTTTCCTCCCTTGGACACCGTTTAGGTCTGTGGGTCCTGCCTGTCTCCCCACCTCTTCAGGAACCTCAGGCCAGACCGCCTTTCTTAGAACTACTCTGTTAAGAACATGATAATCTGAAACTCGAAGAGCGAAGTCATCTTTTAATAACTTGCCATCTTAATTTGTCTCATTGAATGTTTTTTTTTAAGGTTTTTGTCATATGGGACACATGCTTCTGGGAGAGACAGACAGTGAGAGGAAAAGTGAGAAATCACCCCTGGGGGGGATGGCTATGTTGCAATCCCTTATCCTCCATTTTCCTCTTGGGATTCTGGGCATGCATGCACCCGCACAAGCACCCAATATGAGTTTCATGCCGCCAAATCTGGAATTCAAACAGTGGTCGGCCATGTGGGAGTCCAACATCTTAATCACTATGTCACTTGCTGGCCCTGCCCCACTTAATTTTTTAAAAGAATTATTTTATTAAATTAATTTATCATTATTATTATTATTATTATTTTGAGAAAGCAAGTCACTAGATCTGGGACTCACAAGGTGGCCAGGGCCGGGACTCAAACTGTGGTTGACCATGTGGGAGTCCAACACCTTTAACCACCCATGCCACTTGCTGCCCCCCCCTTAATTTTTTTAAAAGCATGATCCCCTTAAGTATGTTGCTTAAAAATGCTTCCTCTCATTAATCATAAGAGAAATTTGGAGCAAAGAAAGACATTTAGGTTAAAGAGTTATTTAAGTTTTCTAATGACTATAATACTTTCTAAATTTTTTAAAGAATTGTTTTACTTATTTCATTAATTATTAATTATTATTATGTCATTGTTATTATGACCAGAGAGAGAAAAAGAGAGAGAGAGAGAGACCTGAGAGAGACAGAGAGAGGGAAAGTGAGAAAGCGAGCCACCAGGTCCAGGACTAGAACCATGGTCAGCCATGTGGGAGTCTAGCACCTTAACCACCATACTACCTGCCAGCCCCAATACTTTCTAAGTTCTTATATTTAAAAAATCACTAGGAGACTTAAACCTTGATAGTTGAGAAGTTAACAAAATAAAACCTATTCTCTCACTACCTTCCAATTATAAAAAATAATAATTTAATTTTCTTGCTTTTACGAATATTAAAGTAACAAAAACATTTTTCAAAGGAAACTTTAATGTGAAATATAGTCTACAAAAAATAAAGCTAACCATGTCAGTTAATGACTAACCAACAGAATTCTTTACAACAAAATATTAAAAGTCATGAATATCAAGCAGTCTTTCTAAAAAGAAGTCAAATGGATGAAAAATATTAAAAACCCTGCATTTTCAGAATTAAAATATTTGGCAGATTAAAACATGAAAACAAACAAGACTTTGATAGACTCTTAAATACGTACTACTTACATGACACCGTGTAGAACTTTCTGGGGGTCAGGGTCAAATAGCCTGTCAACATAGTGGCGGCTGCTAGCTGTTACTTCCTAGAAAGTGGGGGAAAAATTACGACATCTGAAGCCACGCAAATCACAAGTTCATTGCATCACCCGCAACATCAAATAGCTATATAATCTACCTTAAGGCAGATGCATTAAAATGCCTATAAAATACTTATTATTTGCCGCCTTATGAGATGGGACACCTAAGCAGGTGATCTTTCTTAGGTACCAAGATAAGTGTAAACTGCAGTCAGTGTTCATGTCCAAGATGCCAAAAATTAGTATTTTTCTTCTAAAGACATCCAATTTCAAAAATAAGAAAGCCCATGGAATACTACAAATTTTTCAATGCCTTGCAACTGGGAGAAGAGTTTGGGAAATCAACATAATTACAAAGTACACGCTAACTTGTTCATTTAAACTTTAGGGCCATGGGGGAAATATTAAGTATATTTTTATAAATGCTTTGTTAGTATATTTTTGTAAATTATCCTGAGAAAAGAGTGACGACAAGATAAATATAAGCTAAGGACAAATGAAGACGCCTAGTTCTCACTAAAATCCTACAGGAGAGTGAGACCTTTCTGATGAGCTTCTGCAAGTTTCCCAGCTGAAGAGATGGACATCTGAGGTATTCTCGCAAAGCTCCGTTTCTTCATTAACTGCTAGATGTAAAGTCCATAGGAATAACAGGTAGGAATGTTACTGCCACTTGGTAACATTAAAGGAGAGGAAGTCTTG